CCCACTGCCCTCAGCCGGGTGGTAACATAATGTTCATGCGCGACAATGGATGTACTCGCATTATGATTTCCCCACAGATAAGCATTATTCAATGCTTTCCTATGGGGATTCCAGCGACACTGGAGGTCCTCATGCATAGCGTGAGGACGTCCAGCGTCGTTTAAAACACTTTTCGTGTTTTAAGAACACGGAAGTACCTTTAGTGGCTGTCTGATAGGCAGCCACTAGAGGAGGACATAACCCTGCAAGGTAATTATTGCAGTTTATAAAAACTGCAATAATTACACTTGCCGGATTAAGGGTGATGGGAGTTGGCACCCAGACCACTATAATGGGCAGAAGTAGTTTGGGTGCCTAGAGTGTCCCTTTAATGGGATCTTACATATATACCACACATGGTGCAACTGTGACTTTGCAGCTCATCTTGGATTGTATTTCCTTTCATCCCCAGTCAGCTCTCATGCTGATAATTAATAAAAATTCAAGTTCAGTTGCTGGAGAGAAAAACACTGGTCCTTTCTCACATGCAAATATGGCCCCAAGGGTGATAACTGTGGAGTCTCAGGGAGGATTTGGGTCAGATCATCTTTCTGTAAGCTTGTTGAGTCTGTAAGTTTTATTGAGAAATAAAAAATAACCAAAAATAAGTTGGCCATAGTGATTTTCAAGAAATGTTTACTGATGCGCCACACTTTATAATGCTTTCAGGTTGAGGCTTTTAGTACATGTTAATAAAATCCATAAATAAGTGTCATTGGAAGCATAAATTGCATTCTTACAAAATGTTTCCTATTCAAAAAAAGCCCTTGTAAATGTACGTTTTTTTTTAAAATTAATATTCATATAATGATGTATTTATTTTGTATTTATTTTTTGTAGTTGCTGGTTCTAAAATTGTCACTCCTTATCAACCTGCACATTTCTTAAAAGTTTACAAGATCAGCTTATTTTTGGATATAATTAAAGTGTTACAGAGCAGGCAGTGACCATGCCAAAAGGCATAGAGCTTGCTCACTTATAGTAAGGTTAATGCTAGTGCCTTAACAAGTCCGTAGCAAGGAGGGGAGATATTAATACGTTGGGTAATGCTATCCGTTTGACAGATACATGTTTCCGTCTTTTTAAATGTCTTTCTGCTTACCTAATGTAACTGACACTGGGGCATAAGAAGATTGAGAGGACTGTGTACAGTACTGTTTATGTCACTAGCACAAGTATTATCTCGATTTGTGACGAGCAGTGTCCTTTAAATTGTATTTGCCAAATGGAAAGAGAACTGGGGGGGGCAGTAAACAAAGAGCACATTTGTTTATTCTGAAAAATATATATTTATTTTCAAACATTTTGCTGCCAGAGATCTAAAATTAGATCTAGAAGGTTATGCAAACCACAAAAGAGTTAATGTGCCCCCCACACTTCTCTTTTACATGGGAGAATTATGCATTATGAACTATGTCAGTGATGTGCTGTTCTCCTTATTCTTTCTAATTGTGTGTGAATACTTTGCTGAATGCACGTTTGTGTAAGTTATACTGTCCTGAAGTTATAATTTACTTTTGAAAATAAAATCTTAAATTAATGCTGGTGGTGTTTTGTTTTTTGTTTTCTACAGCTTATAGTTATTTACTGAACTTTGAAAATTAATAGTTGTCAAATTTATTTAATATGTATACATCTATGTAGATCTTTTTTTTTTCTATCTTTATTTCTCTCTCACTATAATTAATATTTTATTTTTCCAATTATTTGTTTCCCCCACTTTAGCAAGCCAGGAAGATTAAAGGCAGTGCCAAATTTCCACTCTAGAGGGCACTAGTAGCTATTTGAAATCTCAGCTCTGCTTCTTCTATTATGCCCTCACAAGGGAATACTTTATTGTTCAAATTGACCAACTGTTTGGACAGTCTGTCTTTAAAACAAACTGTACTACGGATCTAACTTAATTCTCTAGCTACTCATCTCTGCTTCTCAGTCTTATAAATTGTCAAAACCTTAACTTAGACAAACGGCAGGAACAGCAGCTGCATTTCACTTGTCTCTTATGCAACATGTATCTTGCTGCCAACCGTGGGAGCTTAATGCAAAACCTGTGAAGATCTGCACTGTGACATATTGCAGCTTTTCGTATCCATTGATTTAAAAGACCACTATAGTGCCCTGAGGGTGCCCCCACCCTCAGGGTCCCCCTCCCGCCCGGCTCTGGAAAGGAGAAAGGGGTTAAAACTTACCTTTTTCCAGCGCTGGGCGGGGAGCTCTCCTCCTCCGATCCTCCTCTTCTCCTCCCCGTCGGCTGAATGCGCACGTGCGGCAAGAGCTGCGCGCGCATTCAGCCGGTCACATAGGAAAGCATTCTTAATGCTTTCCTATGGACGCTGGCGTGCTCTCACTGTGAAAATCACAGTGAGAATCACGCAAGCGCCTCTAGCGGCTGTCTCATTGAGGAAATAGGGGAAGGCTTAACCCATTCATAAACATAGCAGTTTTTCTGAACCTGCTATGTTTATGAAAAAATGGGTTAACCCTAGCTGGACCTGGCACCCAGACCACTTCATTAAGCTAAATAAATAAATTAAGCACAGGCCTGTTGCAGGAAGAGAGAGATGTGGATGCCAGGTCAAATCAGTATGCTGTAGCAGTAGCCAGGAAAAAAAACATTTCATATGTGAAGGTGAAAAGCTATTAGCCGTATGCAGTATCTCCGTATGCAGTATCTCCCTATCTACTAAATAATGAAGATAAAATAGTTTTATTTGGAGGTTAGTCTTATTCATAAATTGTGAACCATGTAGAAACCAGGGAAGATTTATACCCTTTTATACACTTGGAGCCATCATTTTAGAAGACCATGAATTATAAGAGATAGATGTGATCATAGTCTTTAGTGCTTTATTGCAAATCCCTTGCCTTAAAGGACCACTATAGTGCCAGGAAAACACTTGTTTTCCTGGCACTATAGTGCCCTGAGGGTGCCCTCTCTGCCTCCTCTCCTTGGCTGAATGCGCATGCGCGCGCGTTCAGCCAGTCTCATAGGAAAGCTTTCTCCATGCTTTCCTATGGACGCTGGTGTCTTCTCACTGTGAAAATCACAGTGAGAAGCGCGGAAGCACCTCTAGCTGCTGTCAATGAGACAGCCACTAGAGGCTGGATTAACCCTAATATAAACATAGTTTCTCTGAAACTGCTATGTTTATAGAAAAAAAAGGGTTAAACCTAGCTGGACCAGGCACCCAGACCACTTCATGAAGCTGAAGTGGTCTGGGTGCCTATAGTGGTCCTTTAAGGGCCTGCAGACACGTAGACGACATTACTTTTTGGTTAGTGCTTTTCTTACCTAGCGATCTTCTCAGTGTGCACTGCAGCCAATTTAATATCCTTTCTTTTCTGGTAAATGTTAAATATTTGTTCAGCTTTAATCATGTCAGATGACTGAAAAGAACATTCAGGTTTTTTTTTGTCTTTAAAAATCCCTCTTCAAGATGTGAAAGCCCTTTATGAAGAAAGCACATGCAGACCTCTGCCGATGGGCAGAGATAGGGATTTAAAATGAACCTCCTCCCCAGATTCTTCTATATCTTTCAGACCTTCCCACTACCTTTCCGCAAGCCAGACCTTATTTATCTGGCACGGACGTAAACCCCAAATTCACAAAACAACCCTGGGACAATGAAAAGTTTTCTGAAACAAAACCAGTCGCAGATACTCTAGCAGTTGGTTGACCGTATAGTGCAAACATAGCCTTAATGAAGGGGTCTGGGATGTTAAAACGCAACAGACCTTCCCTCAGGTAATCCCAGTGGATCCTATCAAACACCTTCTCCGCATCTAGAGAGAGGAGCAAAGAAGGCATGCGGTAGATTTAAGATGATTAATCAAATTGATGAAACACCTGGTGCCATCCGGAGCCTGACGGTTCATAACGAAAACCCACCTGGTCTTTGCCAATTAGGGATGGAAGAAGTCAATTAAGTCTATTAGCTGAAATGTTTGATTAAATCTTTGTGTCGTTATTAATTCATGAAATGGGGCAAACATTTGAGCAGACATTAGGTGTCTTAACAGGTTTAGGTAACGTGACCGTTTGTGCTCACAAAGCCTGCCCCAGCATTCCACCTGTATTCCAATAATAATTGAATAAGCTAGTTAAATGAGGGGTAAGAATGCCAGAGAATTATATGTAGTGCTAATCACTTTCTCATTATAAAAGCCTCCTATGTTTGGAAGCTGTATGACACAAATCGAGGGTTCACGAAGAGCTGAGGCAGCTGAGTGCAAGAAATTGCCAGCCTCTGATGTACTACAACTTCTCTCTTGGTTGCTGGGAGTTATAATATACATTTTTTTTAAATGGGATAATGACACAATCCCTTGTTATACAGCTTTTGTAGAATAGAACTCCAATCAACCTCATCCAGTAGCTAACATCCCTAACTCTTGCCAAAAAACACATCTCTGTGAGATCCTTTGGACTGGAAATTTGTTGTCCATGCTTCTCTATGAGAAGCATTTGATTGGACAATGCCCAGCCGTAACAATGAAGTAAGTGCTGGGAAAACTGGGTGCTCTTCGTTACTTGCACAGACCAGTTCTGCAGCTAATGACAGGTAAGATTTCAAGGCATAGGAAATATTTATGAACATTTTAGTAAGTGACTTCCGGGTGCTCTTCGTTACTTGCACAGACCAGTTCTGCAGCTAATGACAGGTAAGATTTCAAGGCATAGGAAATATTTATGAACATTTTAGTAAGTGACTTCCGGGTGCTCTTCGTTACTTGCACAGACCAGTTCTGCAGCTAATGACAGGTAAGATTTCTAGGCATAGGAAATATTTATGAACATTTTAGTAAGTAATTTTTTATTTTTTTTTATGTGCATTAAAAATATGCATTTTTGTGACACAGAGCACCTGCTTAAAGGGACACTATAGGCACCAGGACTATTTCAGCTCATTGAAGTGGTTTGGGTGCAGTGTCTCAGGTCTCTTAACCCTACATAACTAATTATCACAGGGTTTTGTTTTTTTGTTTGTTTTTTTATAAACTTCAATAATTAGCTTTTTGGGGTAACTCCGTCTCTAGAGGCGGTTTACCAGAGAGCCACTAGAGGGACCTGTGCCGATGCTGGACGTCCTCACCCTATGCATGAGGACTTCCAGCATCACCGGATTCCCCATAGGAAAGCAGAAATCCTAATGCAAGCGCAGCCATTGCCACGCATGCGTATCAGGTATTCACCGTCGGCTGATGTCAGCAGGAGGAGGAGTGGAGGTGTCCCAGGTAAGCGACAGAAGGTTTTTTTTTGTTTTGTTTTTTAAAAACCCTTTCTGCACCACATGGGGGGAGGTGTGAACTATAGGGAGCTATACTGCCTGGAAAAACTGTTTTCCAGACACTATAGTTTCCTTTTAAGATGCAGAATGCCTCACAATTTTTGTTAAATTTATTTTATTTGTTTCTCAAAAAAAAAAGGCATTGGATTGTCTGATATTGTCAAGGAGTCAGATCATGGGCAGAGCCAGCACAAGCCAAATACAGCCCTGGTCAATCAATCTCCTCATAGAATTGAATCAATGTATCTCTATGAGGAACGTTTAGTGTCTCCATGCAGAGGGTGGAGACCAGTGGTGTATCCTGGTTTTGTGCTGCCCTAGGCATGACAACTCAGGCACCTCCTCCCCCTCCGCCCCACCTTCTAAATACACATACACACTCGCTAACAGACACATATACACTCAGTGTCAGGCACACGCTTTCATTGACACACACATACACTAGCTAACATTCATACACACTCACTAACAGACTTGCATACACACTAACAGACACAGATACGCATACACACACTAACAGACATTCAAATTTTTATTTAAAATGCAATCCCCCCAGCCTCCCTAGCTTTGGGAATGCTGGGGTGGATTATCACTTTTCCTGGGGTCCAGTGGGGCTGCTGGGCGGCCGGCTGATGACTGCAGGCGGCGAGGGAGCACTAATCCTCCTGTTCAGCTCCCTCCCCTGCCGCGTAGTGATGCAGGAGCCGGAATGACGTCATATACCGGCTCCGGCATCACTGCGGTGTGCGCAAGGGAGCTGAACAGGAGGATTAGTGCTCCCTCGCCGCCCGCCCGGAAAGTTCCGCCGCTGCCAGCCTGGGGGGCACTGAGGTGGCCACCCAGCCAGCTCCTGGGCCCCCCAAGACAAGAGGCTGGCAAGGCATTTGCCAGTGCAATCAGGGCTTTTTATTTGCTGCCCCCCAAAAAGTGCCGCCCAAGGCAAATGCCTTGTTTGCCTCGGGGTAAACACACCCCTGGTGGAGACACTGAATGGCAGTGCTGCACAATGTGCAGCACTGCCCCTGGAAGCACCTCTAGTGGCCATCTGAGGAGTGGCCAGTGGAGGTATCCCTAGGCTGTAATGTAAACAGTGCCTTTTTTTTTTTTTAAAAAAAACAGTGTTTACTGCAAAAAGCCTGAAGGAACTGATTATACTCACCAGAACAAATGAAATTAGCTGTAGCTGATCTGGTCACTATAGTGTCCCTTTAACTCCTTAAGGACACATGACATGTGACATGTCATGATTCCCTTTTATTCCAGAAGTTTGGTGCTTAAGGGGTTAAACTACATCTCTCCCACCTGTCAATCAATTCTCAGCATAGACAGCTATGCCAAGAGTTGAGTGAAAGGAGCAGAAGAATCCTGTTTTCCTCTGCTCTAACAGTAGCTACAGCGCAGGCATTGTACCAGGAAGGATTATTCCCCTAAGTGATAAACTGGAGGTATGATTATAAATAGTTTACAAAATCATTTATTAGTATTTTATATATTCAGCAGCGGATTACAATTATACAATGAGGATATATAACAGCAAGAACAGCCAAAACAAAATAATGGCAGATACAAGAGGTGAAGAGTAGTCTGCAATCAATCTGTTAGACTGCAGACACATTTCTGCTGGAATTATATTTTCCCCAGGATCTGCATATGATATATATAATCCTGCATCAATTTACAATGCTATAGATTTTAATTTAAAAAAAAAAAATTGTACACTAGTTGTTAAAGGGACAGTCCAGGCACCCAGACCACTTCTGCCCATTGGAGTGATCTGGGTGCCAACTCCCACTACCGTTAAGCCTGCAAGTGTAATTATTGCAGTTTTCATAAACTGCAATAATTACCTTGCAGGGTAAAGTCCTCCTAGTGGCTGTCTACCAGACAGCCACTAGAGGAACTTCCATGTTCTTAGAACACAAAAAGTGTGTTATAATGAATAATTGAATAATGCTTTCCTATGGGGAGGTCTAATGCGCGGCCATTGCCAGGCATGCGCATTAGGTCTCCCCTGTCGGCGGAGGAGGAGAGTAGGCAGAGCAACTTGTGATGGGGGTGGGAGGGAGAGGGGCACTACAGGGTCCTGCAGTGTTAGTTTTCCTGGCACTGGAGAATCTCTGTAAGGGACACTGTAGGCCAGGGGTCCTCAAACTCTGGCCCCCCATCTGTTGCTGAACGACAACTCCCATGATTCTCTGGCTATCTATTTAATTCATGGGAGTTGTCGTTCAGCAACATCTGGAGTTTGAGGACCCCTGCTGTAGGCATTGTAATCGTTTTATTTCACTGAAATGGTTATGTATTGAGACCCCTCCCTCCGTTCTTCTATTCAGTATTAAACAATTTTTAAGTGTCACCCCATCTCCTCTATGCTGCTTAGACTAAGAAAGAAGCAGTTTGCAGCTGTGAATGACTGACTGAAAGTGTCAGCTACTGCTTTCAGCTTATCACAGCTGCCATTATTGGTATGAATTTGTATGGCTGCAAAGAAGAGTATAATCTCTGAATTAGCCATTCCTCCAGTAGGGGCTGGGTTTTGAGTGTCAGGGATGATTATTTAGTGTTAAACAGAATAAAGGGACTCTATAGGTACCCAGACAACTTCATCTCAAGGAAGTTGTCTGTAACTGAAAACACCGCCATATCGTAGGAACGGCAATGTTTTCTTGGCAGGTTTAACACGCCTCTAGTGTCTGTCATGAAGATAACCACTAGAGGCGCTCCTGCAGCTATAACAGAGTTAAAACCGTTTATAGATCAAATGGCTCTCATTCAGGGCTTTTAGTTGGCGCAGTGTTTTGCTGATGATTAAATATGATTATTTTAATTCTTTTTTGATTTTTAACATGTTGGTGAGTAAGCCCCCTAGACCAGGGGTAGGCAACCTTCGGCACGCCAGATGTTTTGGACTACATCTCCCATAATGCTCTTACACCCATAATGCTGGCAAATCCTCATGGGAGGTGTAGTCCAAAACATCTGGAGTGCCGAAGGTTGCCTATGCCTGCGCTAGACTAACAATCTAAGTTCTATTCAATGTATAGAAGGTGTTGGCTGTTTACAAGTTTGGACTTCATACCTTCTTTCCTCCCCTCCCCCCCCACTTCCCTTGCTGCTAATCTGCCTATTAACAGCAGTAAAAGTCCAAACTAATCAACCCCCTTTTACTACCTTCCCTATACATTGACTAAACTTACCGTTCAAATCTCTGCAAACTCTGTCCAGACTACTATATGGCTCAGCAATTTCATCCAGTCAAAAGACCTTTAACTTATCTCACAAATTTCTTGCTATGCAGAGGTATAAGGAAATGTTATCTAATCACTTAGAAGCAATTCCAGTTTATCACATAGAATGCATGGAACTGATGTGCCTGCCATCAGCTTTACTGACCTATCCAACCACAGTTGTATGAGTGCAGCTGTCAGACACAATCACAATTCAAGTGTTTTAAGAAGCTGTTAATGGAGGTTGAGATTTGTAAAGTGCATGCACACTGTACAAATATTTGGACGAGTAAACGAGGAACTATAGCTTCCAGTGATATCAGGTACTGAAGGGGCAGGTTTATAGCTGCAGCAACTTTGAAAAATGTGTGTAATTAGAATCAATTAGTGCAGGGCAACAAGCACTGGAGACCTATTTGCACTCACAGCTTAAAGGACCACTATAGGCACCCAGACCACTTCAGCTCAATGAAGTGGTCTGGGTGCCTGGTCCCTCTCGTTTTAACCCTGCAGCTGAAAACAGCAGTTTCAGAGAAACTGCTATGTTTAACTGAGGGTTAATCCAGCCTCTAGTGGCTGTCTCACTGACAGCCGCTATAGGCACTTCCGAGATCCACGCTGGACATCCATAGGAAAGCATTGAGTAATACTTTCCTATGGGCAGTTTGAATGCGCGCGCGACTCCTGCCGTGCATGCCCATTTGGATCTGACGTCGGCAGGGGTGGAGAGTTCCCCAGCACAGAGGGTGCCTGGCGCTGGAGAAGGGTAAGTGGCTGTTGGGGGGGGGGGGCGACGTAATGACCCTATAGTGCCAGGAAATGAGTTTGTTTTCCTGGCACTATACTGGTCCTTTAACTTCTTAGAGGAGTATCCCTATAAAACAGACCTATAAAGATTCAGGTTTTCATTATAATAAAACGACTTATATGATGTTAGAGCGTCAATAGAATTCGGGATTATTCTAACTCCTAGTGACCGAATAATCTAAATTTTATTAAAGACAGGAGGCGAATATTTGCTTATCTTTCTTTACTGTAACTCCCAGCAGCAAAGAAACAGTTAACAGCAGTGTAAAAATTTTAACCAATCAGTATGCATTACAGTAATATAAACTGTCATCAGGCTCCTCCCAATTCCTCTTTCTTGATGTAGCCGAACAGTCGTAGAGTCAACCATGTAAATGTAGAACCATTAAAACGATGAACAGGTAACGGTGTAGGTATCCGGTAGGATGAAGGTAGTGATCAACCCACAGGTAGATTCGAGACAGAAAGCAATTGATCTTCACACTAGGAGGAAGGAGAAACATCGTGAAAGTATGGTCTCTTTGGCAAGAGAAAAGTCAAAGTAAATGCAGTGAACTGACTTCCAATTTAAGTGCAAGCTCTAACTTATGATAATTAACTGTGTGGTATGTAGAGTAAGTGACACACCTAGAATACAATAAACCAATGTACAATTGAAAGCGGGTTTAGCATAATAACAACCTAATGAGTATAGGCTAGAGAAAGGAGAGGATGTTGGTCATAGTTAGAACTGGAGATAGTACAGGATACTTACCTAAAAGGGTGGGTAAAGAGAATCCAGGGTGGGAAAATATTCGCCTCCTGTCTTTAATAAAATTTAGATTATTCGGTCACTAGGAGTTAGAATTATCCCGAATTTTATGGCAAGACAGGAGGCTTCATATTTGCTATTCTAACGCACAGATAGCAAGGACAGAGAAACGTGTGGAGAATGTCTAAAATAAAAAGTACGGAAGGTGGATTCTCTAGACCTATCAGCGGAGGATAGAATCTCCCTAAGGAACCTCCAGCTATGAGTGCCGAGGAGGCGGCTGCGCCTCTTAACCGAGTGAGCTCCGAAAGATGCATCAATGCCAGCCAGGGCTAGAAGCCATTTAATCCAACGTGCAATGGTAGGGCACGAGACTGGTTTGTGAGGTCGTACATAAGATACCAGGAGGGGCCCAGTAGGTGCTCTGAGAGGGGTAGTGCGAGCGATATAGTGTCTTATACACCGGGCTACGCAGAGGAGGGGTTTCTCCGAGAAGTAAGGGTAGCTCACAGTAGATGAGTTGGTCTTGGTGCGTCTAGTGATATGAAAGTGTACCCCCTCCGGTGTGAAATCGAGGGCATGAAAGTCGAAAGCCCTGATGTCGGAAACTCTTCGGAAGGAGACCAAGCAAAGGAGGAGAGCTAATTTGGCTGACAATTGGCGTAGGGAGAGCGCCTCGTTGTCCGGCCAAGCTTCCAAGAACATGAGCATGATGGCCACGTCCCAGAATTGATTATATTTGGGAGTCGGGGGTCTAGCGATGCGGATGCCCTGCAAGAGTCTACAGACAGAAGGGTGTTTGCCTACTGAAGAACTTTCGATAGGAACGTGCGCTGCAGAAATAGCAGACCGAAACATGTTAACGGTCCGGTAGGATTTACCCTGGTCGAACAGAGACGACAGGAAATTGATAATATTAATTATAGATGTTGAAAAGGAATCAAGGTTCCTTTCCAAGCACCAGCAACTCCATAGACGCCATGCAGAGATGTAAGAGCGTCTGGTTCCCGGGGCCCATGACTCCCAAAGGAGTCCCTGAGCAGTTGTCGAAAGGCCTGAGACATTCCAAGATCCCCTGAAATGGTCCACGCCACTAGTTGGAGATGATCCTGGATTGCCAATGGGTGAAAGTTGCCTGTTTGGTCTCTGAGGAGGTCGCAGGCGTTGGGTAGCAGCAGGGGGAAGTCCACAGACATTTCCAGGAGGTAAGGATACCATGGTTGGGCCCGCCATAGCGGGCTCACTAGTGTTATCTTGACACCCTGAGTTTTGAGATGCTGTAGTGTGCGTGGAATCATGGAGAATGGAGGGAACGCATATGCCCCGGACATCGGCCACGTCTGTAGGAAGGCATCGACTGCAAGGCACGCTGGGTCCGGCAACCAGCTGTAAAAGGCGTCCGTCTGCCTATTGAAGCGAGATGCAAAGAGGTCCAGGTTGAATGGCCCCCGGCAGACCTGGAGACGGTGAAATATCTGTGGATTCAGTTGCCAATCGCTGGAGTCCCTCCAGTGTCGGGAGAACCAGTCTGCGACGAGGTTGTCTGATCCCGGTAGATATTCCGCTTGCAGGAAGATATTCCTGTCTAGGCAGAACTGATATAATTCTTTGGTCAGATCTGAGAGCATCTTCGATTTGGAACCTCCTAGATGATTCACGTAACGAACTGCAGACACGTTGTCCATCTTCAGCACCACGGAACAGTTGTAGACATCTTTGGCGAAACTGCGGATTGCGAATGAGCCTGCAATCAGTTCGAGGCAGTTGATATGAAGTGCTCGTTCCGAGTGGGACCAGAGTCCTCCTGTAGAGCTTTCCGAGCAGGTTGCGCCCCATCCGAGCAGACTTGCATCCGATTCCAGGATGAAGTCTGGTTGGGATCCGAAAATGGCTCTTCCATTCCAAGCGTCCATATGTTGTAGCCACCAATGGAGTTCGAGCCGGACTTCGTCCGTGAGTGTGATCTGTTGGTCGTAGGACGTCGACTGATGTAAGTATTGGGTCTTCAGGCGTTGCAGTGCCCGGTAGTGCAGTGGGGCAGGGAATATAGCCTGTATTGAGGCGGAGAGCAAGCCGATGGTGCGGGCTAGATCTCGCAGGCGGAGGTGTGGTGATATCAGTAACCTCCGAATGTCTTTTTTGATGGATTTGATTTTGGATGCCGGAAGTTGAAGGACTGCTTGAACAGAGTCTATCTGAAATCCCAGGAATTGTATCGTCTGGGACGGTGTTAGAGATGATTTCTGGTGATTGATCACGAAACCAAGATTCTGCAATAGGGCGGAGGTCATGCTTGTATGAAGGTGTAGAGTTTTTTGGTCTTGTGCCATGAGGAGGATATCGTCCAGATAGATTATGGATCGGATTCCTTGGGAGCGCAGTAAGGCCATCACTGGTTTCATTAGTTTGGTAAAGCACCAGGGTGCAGAAGATAGGCCGAAGGGGAGGCAGGTGAACTGCCATAGTGCTTGTTCCCAACGAAACTGAAGGAGGCAGCAGTGAGGTATGCATCCTTTAGATCGAAGCGGGAGAACCAATCTCCCTCGGAGAGTAGGTCTCTCAATAAATGGATCCCCTCCATTTTGAAGTGACGGTATGTGATGAACCTGTTCAGATCTCTCAGGTTGATGACAGGTCGTAGACCTCCTGATTTTTTCTTGACTAGAAACATGTTGCTTATGAAGATCTGTGGGTCAACAATTCTTTCGATCGCACCCTTCGTGAATAGATCGTCGAGTTCGCTCCGTAGAGTCGACTCGTCTAACAGTGACATTTTGATTGGGGTAGGAGGAGAATTTTGTATTGGTTCGACTGAAACATCCAGGTGGAACCCAGACACCGTCTGAAGGATCCAAGGATCCTGAGTGAGTTGAGACCACTGTTGGGAAAAAAGGGTTAACCGGCCTGCAATAGGAATATGAGAATAAGGAAGGTCCATTACCTGTAGCACTGCGGATCCACGTCCTCGGATAGCTCCGCGAGAGGGAAAAAATTGTCTGTGGTGGAATCGGGTATTGCCCGAGTTCCAGGTGTCTGAAGGTCGAGGCCTGTAGCCTGTGAAGGCGGCTCTGCCAGTCGCTCGGCCTCTATAGCAACCAGCTCTTCCGGAAAAACGATGAGTGCGAAATACCTTGCGAATGGAGGATTGTGCCTTTGTCAGCGTAGTAAAAACAGAGATGTGCTTACTTAGTTCTTTTATGAACTTGTCTCCAAATAACATGCCTTGAGCCTCTGGACCAAGTTCTTTAGTGCCCAATTCGGCAAGCTTGGCATCGATTTTATAAAGGACGGCCTTCCGCCGTTCAGTTGATATTGCCACATTGGCATTGCCTAAAAGGCATAAGGCTCTTTGTGCCCACTCTCGCACCATATGTGCATCAAATGTGCCACCTGATAAAGCCTCGTCTGCAATAATGAAGATTTGTATGAGTGGGCCCGCCACATCCATCAACTTGTCCTGAGTGGCTTTCAGACCCTGTTCTAGACCCTTACGGGGGTCTTTCCCTGACTTGGTTAGAAAGGTCACAAGGAAAGGGTCGAATTCGGGTGTATTGGCCACCTTGTCTGGGAAAGAGGGGCGTGGGCATTCTGCCCTTAATTTGGCTCTCACCTCTTTTTCTAAAGGCCGACGGAGCCACATTCTACAGTATTTGCCAATGTGGTCCGGGGGCGTCCATTCGGCCGATCTAGGGTGCCTGATGCATCTGGGGTCAAATAAAGGGCGGCCAGAGGTGTCAAATAAGGTATCCTCTTTCAAGTTAGGGTTTTCAGAGGTGAGATCAGACTCCAATTGGAATTCCTCTAGAGGAATGAGGGGGGGTTCATTAGTTGCAGAATCGGAAAGGTAAAGGTCTCAGAATGTCTTATGAGGTGGAGCCTCAGTATCCGAGTGTTCTGCGTAGTATTCGTCTAATACTTGGAGATTATAATTAGAGGTTGAACCCTCAAATGCGTCAAAATCATGTTGGGAGGAGGTTTGCTTGGGTTTAGAATAGGGCACTTTAGGGTGTTTAGCAGGCGCTTTGCCTTTACCGGCGGTGGCGCTATCGCCCTTCCAAGGGCGTTTGCGAGGGGCTTCTTCATGCTCTGAAGCGTGAGAATCCTCGGAGTCTGAGAGTTGGGTAATGGTGGCCGTAGGGGCTGGGATTGTCTGCTCGCGGAAAGCCGCTAAAGCTTTGAGTATAGATTCAGTAATGGCATTGAAAAGCCAAGCCTTAAGTTTGGCAGAAACTGCTGGTTCTGGCACATCCGACATAATATCAGTAACAGTGGGGTCACCACAAAAGAAATTAAATATATTTACAATATATATAAAAAAAAAAATTTTTTTTTTTTTTTGCGCAGACAAACTAATTACAATGAGGCGGTGGACTTAGACTGCGTGTAAAAAAGCAGGAGAGCAATTATCCTGTAAAAGTGGAGTTCGTCCACAATTTATCAGTGGGGTTCACCCAGAGAGAGAAGGACAATATAGTGTCCAAGATCTAATAACAGGTATGTGCCTGTGTTATCATATAGGGATTACCCTGTATAGAGGCAGCAAAGGGGGTCACCCTCAGAATAAAGGCTAGAGGGGGTCACCCTCAGAATCAAGCAAGGATTTGTGTTAAGCTGTGTTGGTAGTTATGCTGAAATCTGCAAGAAAAATTGAAGTTTTGAGTATTGGGTATATATCTTTAATTTTTTTAAACTAAAGGGTCTGGGGCTTTAAGAGGTAAAAAATGTACTTACCAAACGGCTGGGTCGCGTTCTGCAGTGAGAGCCGAAACGCAAGGGAACCGCCGCGCATAAGCCTACCACAAGATGGCGCTGAGAGGGAAGCCCGGGAAAAAAGCTCATAGAAATGGCCGCGGCATGAAAAAAAGGCGGGACACGTCTCTATGGAGACGCCAGGGCAACACACATTGTGTGTGAGGGAACTGAGCGGCTGAGCGGACCGGCAAAATCCCGGGCGCTGCGGGGAAAGCGTTAGTGCTATGGAAATTAAACTGACAGGACAAAAATAAATAAATAAAAGAGTGAAGAAATGTTGAGGTAAACTGAGTTTGTGGGCTGACTGGAGTGTCAGCCCATGTAACCTAAATAAATAGAAGCAAAGCACAGAAACATAAAAGGAAAAACTGTATGAAAAATATTAAAATATTAAAATAATATACAATATATATTAGTCAGCTAAACTAGAGAATTTAGTAGGAGTATAATTAGAATAGACTCACCTGGGAGGCTAAGCAGCAAAGAAAGAGGAATTGGGAGGAGCCTGATGACAGTTTATATTACTGTAATGCTTACTGATTGGTTAAACTTTTTACACTGCTGTTAACTGTTTCTTTGCTGCTGGGAGTTACAGTAAAGAAAGATAAGCAAATATGAAGCCTCCTGTCTTGCCATAAAATTCCACTGCAACCCATACATGTAAGGCAGCTTTGTGTTATGTATGCCTTTTGGGGCAACGCAAAGCATCGCATGGTGGCATGCCAATGATGCAATATGACTTGTGACATTTGGCTCTGGAAAGGGTCCAAGTCAGCCCAGAGCAAATACTGGAAAACGATCTCCCTGCAATAGCTTTGCATATCACAAGATTGTTTAATGTCAAATTTGCATTGTGTTCTTGAACACACCTAACACGAAACCACAACTAGGTCACTATAGCGTTAGGAGTACATGTTTGTATTCCTAACACTTTAGATTATAGTGTTAGGAATAAAAAGATGTCATTCTACACTCTCCCTTCCACTTGGCTGTTAAAGGGTTAAAACCCTATTACACTCTTTCCAAATGCCAGTGTTAGCTCAGTCTCTTCCCGTGTAAGCGGCGAGGGGGAACCTAATGCCTATATACGACAAGCACCGCGCACGCATTAAGCCTTCCCCATATTGAATCAATGACTTCCTACGGGGAATTTGAAGACACTGGCGTCCTCATGCACAGCGTGACATCAGTCAGCATTGTTTCCTGGAGTTAAACTCTGTGTAAATGCAGAAAGCGCCTCTAGTGGTTGTCTGGTAAACGGCATCTAGAGGCAGTCTTAAATCTGCAATATAAACATTAGTTTCTCTGAAAGGAGACAGGGATGGTGCACCTAGTCCACTTCAATTTAACCAATCATTGTTAACAGGAGTAGTCCCAGAAGATTGGAAGTTAGCGAATGTTGTGCCCATTTACAAGAAAGGTAATAAGGAGGAGTCGGGCAACTATAGGCCAGTAAGCCTTACTTTAGTAGTGGGGAAAGTGATGGAAACCATGTTAAAGGATAGGATTGATGAACATCTAAAAACACATGGATTTCAAGATCAGAGACAACATGGGTTTACTTCAGGGAGATCATGCCAAACTAATCTTATTGATTTTTTTGATTGAGTAACTAAAATTATAGATCAGGGTGGTGCAGTAGACATTGCTTACCTAGATTTCAGTAAGGCTTTTGACACTGTTGCACATAGAAGGCTTATCAATAAACTGCAATCTTTAAGTTTGGATTCAAATATTGTTGAATGGGTAAGGCAGTGGCTGAGTGACAGGCAACAGAGGGTTGTAGTTAATGGAATATATTCGAAGCTTGGACTTGTCACCAGTGGGGTACCTCAGGGATCTGTACTTGGACCCATTCTCTTTAATATTTTTATTAGTGATATTGCAGAAGGTCTTGATGGTAAGGTATGTCTTTTTGCTGATGATACTAAGATATGTAACAGGGTTGATGTTCCAGGAGGGATAAGCCAAATGACAAATGATTTAGGTAAACTAGAAAAATGGTCAGAATTGTGGCAACTGACATTTAATGTGGATAAGTGCAAGATAATGCATCTTGGACGTAAAAACCCAAGGGCAGAGTACAGAATATTTGATAGAGTCCTAACCTCAACATATGAGGAAAGGGATTTAGGGGTGATTATTTCTGATGACTTAAAGGTAGGCAGACAATGTAATAGAGCAGCAGGAAATGCTAGCAGAATGCTTGGTTGTATAGGGAGAGGTATTAGCAGTAGAAAGAGGGAAGTGCTCATGCCATTGTACAGAACACTGGTGAGACCTCACTTGGAGTATTGTACACAGTACTGGAGACCGTATCTTCAGAAGGATATTGATACCTTAGAGAGGGTTCAGAGAAGGGCTACTAAACTGGTTCATGGATTGCGGGATAAAACTTACCAGGAAAGGTTAAAGGATCTTAACATGTATAGCTTGGAGGAAAGACGAGACAGGGGGGATATGATAGAAACATTTAAATATATAAAGGGAAGCAACACAGTAAAGGAGGAGACTATATTTAAAAGAAGAAAAACTACCACAACAAGAGGACATAGTCTTAAATTAGAGGGACAAAGGTTTAAAAATATCAGGAAGTATTACTTTACTGAGAGGGTAGTGGATGCATGGAATAGCCTTCCAGCTGAAGTGGTAGAAGTTAACACAGTAAAGGAGTTTAAGCATGCGTGGGATAGGCATAAGGCTATCCTAACTATAAGATAAGACTAGAGACTAATGAAAGTATTTAGAAAATTGGGCAGACTAGATGGGTCGAATGGTTCTTATCTGCTGTCACATTCTATGTTTCTATTTGACTACTTACTATGGGAGAGTGCCAGGGTACATCTGGTACTATAACCACTACACCAGGCTGCAGTGGTTATGTGACTGGAGTGTTTCCTTGACTTTATTTTTGGTGAGAGAGCCAATCTAATACAAGTCCACCCTTTTCTCAGCATTCAGTGTAATCTGAAATCTAACTGGATTTCCTAGCAGTCCGTCCAAGATACACAGCACAGCACCATGTCTACTGTCTACTGGTTTATAGATCATGGCATCACTGCAGTATGGAAATCATCACCCCCAACTCACAGTGAATTAACAGTACTTAGCATTGACTGTGACGTCATGCTGTGAGTGTGACGTCATAATAAGAGTACCTCTTATCTTAAAGGCATATCAACATTCAATCTACAGTAAAGTAAATGTATAGATTTTGATGAACTAGCATTGGATATTTACTTTTAAAATGCATTCTAAAATATATACATTTATTGTAATAGTAATAATTCTACACCCCCCCCCCCCCTCCAGATATTCTGAAAATTAAAAATTGTCCAAAGTAACTTGCTGCCTGTACTGTATACCCAAACGGACACCAGGAATATAACATGTTAAGCTCAGGTCTTCCTAGGTGCATTCTGTCCTTTTCATGTCTGACTCCTTCCCTCACTATAAATGGCCGCCGCTGCCTCGGGCCGTACTCTCCGATCTCGCGCTTTCTCGTCCAGCGGCCGCGCGCTGACATAGCTTTACTCCCATTGGCTACCTTTTTCCCATGCAGCCCAATCAGAGGCAGCCGTCAGTAGCTCTCGGCTGTCCCAGTTCCGGCTCAGTCGCTCGCTGTGATTGGCTGTACTGCTCACCGTTCGGTAAAGTCCTGCGGCCAATGGGCTTTGCTCGGGATGCAAAGCAAATCTCTGATTGGATCGTAAGTCACGGCGACCAGGCCGCTGATTGGCTGGCGTGACAGTTCCGCTGTGCGCCGCATCATGTCTTAGTAGGGAGGAGAGTGTGATGTTGGCAACCGGAGGTCGGACTCGGTGTGAGAGAGGTGAGGGGGAGAAATGGGGTCAATGAATGGGTCACCATGGACACCGGGCTATAGGGAGTTCAGCTTACTTGCCCTGCTTGTCCTGAGTATAACCTGGGCACTGGGTATAACATGGGCACTGGGTATAACATGGGCACTGGGTATAACCTGGTATAACATGGGCACTGGGTATAACATGGGCACTGAGTATAACCTGGTATAACATGGGCACTGGGTATAACATGGGCACTGGGTATAACATGGTATAACCTGGGCACTGGGTATAACATGGGCACTGGGTATAACCTGGTATAACATGGGCACTGGGTATAACCTGGTATAACATGGGCACTGAGTATAACCTGGTATAACATGGGCACTGGGTATAACATGGTATAACCTGGGCACTGGGTATAACATGGGCACTGAGTATAACATGGTATAACCTGGGCACTGGGTATAACCTGGTATAACCTGGGCACTGGGTATAACCTGGTATAACCTGGGCACTGGGTATAACATGGGCATTGAGTATAACCTGGGAACTGGGTATAACCTGGGCACTGGGTATAACCTGGTATAACCTGGGCACTGGGTATAACCTGGGCACTGGGTATAACATGGGCACTGGGTATAACATGGGCACTGAGTATAACCTGGTATAACGTGGGCACTGGGTATAACATGGGCATTGAGTATAACCTGGGAACTGGGTATAACATGGGCACTGGGTATAACCTGGTATAACCTGGGCACTGGGTATAACCTGGGCACTGGGTATAACATGGGCACTGGGTATAACATGGGCACTGGGTATAACATGGGCACTGAGTATAACATGGGCACTGGGTATAACCTGGGCACTGAGTATAACATGGTATAACCTGGGCACTGAGTATAACCTGGGCACTGAGTATAACCTGGGCACTGGGTATAACCTGGGCACTGGGTATAACCTGGGCACTGAGTATAACATGGGCACTGAGTATAACCTGGGCACTGGGTATAACCTGGGCACTGAGTATAACCTGGGCACTGGGTATAACCTGGTATAACATGGGCACTGAGTATAACATGGTATAACCTGGGCACTGAGTATAACATGGTATAACCTGGGCACTGGGTATAACCTGGGCACTGGGTATAACCTGGGAACTGGGTATAACCTGGGAACTGGGTATAACCTGGGCACTGAGTATAACCTGGGCACTGGGTATAACCTGGGCACTGAGTATAACATGGTATAACCTGGGCACTGAGTATAACCTGGGCACTGGGTATAACCTGGTATAACCTGGGCACTGGGTATAACCTGGGCACTGGGTATAACCTGGGCACTGGGTATAACCTGGTATAACCTGGGCACTGGGTATAACCTGGGCACTGGGTATAACTGGGCACTGGGTATAACATAGGCACTGAGTATAACCTGGGCACTGGAGTATAACATGGTATAACCTGGGCACTGGGTATAACATGGTATAACATGGGCACTGGGTATAACATGATATAACCTGGGCACTGGGTATAATGGTATAACCTGGGCACTGGGTATAACCTGGGCACTGGGTATAACCTGGGCACTGAGTATAACATGGGCACTGGGTATAACAGGGTATAACATGGGCACTGAGTATAACATGGTATAACCTGGGCACTGGGTATAACATGGTATAACATGGGCACTGAGTATAACCTGGGCACTGGGTATAACATGATATAACCTGGGCACTGGGTATAACATGGGCACTGGGTATAATGGTATAACATGGGCACTGAGTATAACCTGGTATAACCTGGGCACTGGGTATAACATGGTATAACCTGGGCACTGGGTATAACATGGTATAACATGGGTACTGAGTATAACCTGGGCACTGAGTATAACATGGTATAACATGGGCACTGAGTAGAACATGGTATAACATGGGCACTGAGTATAACAGGGTATAACATGGGCGCTGAATATAGCCTGAGCACAGAGTATAACATGGGCACTGAGTATAACCAAGTATAACATGGGCACTCCAGTACACAGTACTGGAGACCGTATCTTCAGAAGGATATTGATACCTTAGAGAGGGTTCAGAGAAGGGCTACTAAACTGGTTCATGGATTGTGGGATACAACTTACCAGGAAAGGTTAAAGGATCTTAACATGTATAGCTTGGAGGAAAGACGAGACAGGGGGGATATGATAGAAACATTTAAATATATAAAAGGAATCAACACAGTAAAGGAGGAGACTATATTTAAAAGAAGAAAAACTACCACAACAAGAGGACATAGTCTTAAATTAGAGGGACAAAGGTTTAAAAATAATATCAGTAAGTATTACTTTACTGAGAGGGTAGTGGATGCATGGAATAGCCTTCCAGCTGAAGTAGTAGAGGTTAACACAGTAAAGGAGTTTAAGCATGCGTGGGATAGGCATAAGGCTATCCTAACTATAAGATAAGACTAGGGACTAATGAAAGTATTTAGAAAATTGGGCAGACTAGATGGGCCGAATGGTTCTTATCTGCCGTCACATTCTATGTTTCTATGTTTCTATAAATATAGCCTGAGCAGTGAGTGTAACACGGGCACTCAGTGTAACACGAGCACAGAGTATAACCTGGGCACTGAGTATAACATGGTATAACCTGGGCACTGGGTATAACCTGGGCACTGAGTATAACATGGTATAACCTGGGCACTGGGTATAACATGGTATAACCTGGGAACTGGGTATAACCTGGGCACTGAGTATAACATGGTATAACCTGGGCACTGGGTATAACCTGGGCACTGAGTATAAAATGGTATAACCTGGGCACTGGGTATAACCTGGTATAACCTGGGCACTGAGTATAACATGGTATAACCTGGGCACTGGGTATAACCTGGGCACTGAGTATAACATGGGCACTGGGTATAACAGGGTATAACATGGGCACTGAGTATAACCTGGGCACTGAGTATAACATGGTATAATCTGGGCACTGGGTATAACATGGTATAACATGGGCACTGAGTATAACCTGGGCACTGGGTATAACATGATATAACCTGGGCACTGGGTATAACATGGTATAACATGGGCACTGGGTATAATGGTATAACATGGGCACTGGGTATAATGGTATAACATGGGCACTGAGTATAACATGGTATAACCTGGGCACTGATTATAACATGGGCACTGGGTATAACATGGTATAACATGGGCACTGAGTATAATATGGTATAACCTGGGCACTGGGTATAACCTGGGCACTGAGTATAACCTGGTATAGCATGGGCACTGGGTATAACCTGGGCACTGAGTATAACCTGGTATAACCTGGGCACTGGGTATAACCTGGGCACTGGGTATAACATGGTATAACCTGGGCACTGGGTATAACATGGGTACTGAGTATAACCTGGGCACTGAGTATAACATGGGCACTGAGTAGAACATGGTATAACATGGGCGCTGAATATAGCCTGAGCACAGAGTATAACATGGGCACTGAGTATAACCAAGTATAACATGGGCACTAAATATAGCCTGAGCAGTGAGTGTAACACGGGCACTCAGTGTAACACGAGCACAGAGTATAGCCTGGGCATAGAGTATAACAAGGAATAACATGGGCACTGGGTATAACATGGGCACTGGGTATAACATGGGCACTGAGTATAACATGGTATAACCTGGGCACTGGGTATAACATGGGCACTGAGTATAACATTGTGTAACATGGGCACTGGGTATAACATTGGCACTGGGTATAACAGGGAATAACATGGGCACTGAGTATAACAGGGAATAACATGGGCACAGAGTATAGCAGGGAATAACATGGGCACTGGTTATAAAAAGGTATAACATGGGCACTAAGTATAGCCTAAGCACAGAGTATAACATGGGCACAGAGTGTAACATGGGCACTGAATATAGCCTGAGCACAGAGTATAACCAGTTATAACATGGGTACTGAGTATAACCAGGTATAACATGGGCACTGAGTATAGCCTGAGCACAGAGTATAACCAGTTATAACATGGGCACTGAGTATAGCCTGAGCACAGAGTATAACCAGGTATAACATGGGCACTGAATATAGCCTGAGCACAAAATATAACCAGGTATAACATGGGCACTGAATATAGCCTGAGCACACTATAACCAGGTATAGCCTGAGCACAGAGTATAACATGGGTTTAATGTGGGCACTGAATATAACCGGGTATAACATGGGGCACTGAGAACCAGATATTACATGGGGCAAGGAGTATAACCGGATATAACATGGGACACTGAGAACTGGGTATAACGTAAACGCAGGCTATAACATGGGGCACCCCCGTTCCCCCAAACAAAATAAAAAAGCAGCCTGCGCATACTGCTCACATATCAGCTATCAGCTGGAGAGAGCCAAAGCTACTAACCACATGAGATGGCCACACAAAGCCCACTTTGCAAAACTTTAATCTCGCTGTGGATTAGTGCCACTCATCCTGAGTAATAAATAGAACTATGGCTGGCTACTGGCACTTGTCAGTACTAGGCTACCTGCACTATGAGTTTTCCATTACTTTTATTTTGAATAGGTTTAATTAATTAAAAACTGGGGATCAAATCCTGTCTATTGTGCCCCTTTTACCATCATATTTGGACTTATCCAAACCACAGTGACATGACCGTGCAGCAATAACCTGCTTTGGCTTTAAGGAAGATCAGGGTTTGCTCTCTACACTAGATTTCACTGACCTGAAACTCTACATATAAAAATCACTTCTTTATTGGCCCTAAAACATCTGATGATAATGAATTTTGGTCTTTGTCATTTTACAAGACGAGAAATGTGAAATCCCTGTGCATGATTTTGTTTTATTTTTGAGAAATGTACAATACAAGTGTGCCATAAACAGGGTACAATAAGCTTACCGATAAACATAGTGGTCCGCTAAATAGTTCAACCTTGAGACTACCCCACTAATAAGATTTTCCATTATTGAAATTCAATTAACTTCCACCATAAGATTGGTACCATCGTCCCCTCCATATTTTGGGTAGAAAACAAAACTCCATTAATGGATGTAACCCACAAATCTTGTTTGTTCCGATTGTGGAGGGTTCTTCCGGTATTCCAGAACAAGTGACTGTCTGTGACCCCTTACATTTGATGCTTATTTATTAAATGCTAAATTTTAGCAAACTGTAATTAAAACCCCACTCCCTCGAGCATGTAAGCTGATTGAGTAGGGCCCTCAATCCCCCTGTTCCTGTGTGTCCAATTTGTCTGGTTACAACTACATGTCTGTTTGTCCACCCATTCTATAGCGCTGCAAAATTTGATGGCGCTTTATAAATAACATAATAATAAAAAGGCAGCATCGAGGCTAAAGTAGCTGGACTATGGAAATGTGTGTTTTTGTTTTTTTTGTTTGTTTTTTTTAAAGAATATCCAAGCCTAAATTTTGATTTCAGTTTGATACTATGGGAACTTATTGTATAACCTTTGTGCTATTTTTTTATTATAGCTGCATCACTATTCAAACGCTAGAAGAATCAAATTTCTCTGCCATTTTTGTTTTTGTCTTTTGTTTCCAATTGATTTTTTTTTCTTTGTCTGCCACTGTGACATTTCTTCCTTATGTTTCTGCGCTTGTCCTGTCCTATGTATGTGAAAATCTATTCTGAACTGTCGGATCAATAGTTTCCATATACTGAAGGGTTGGAAATCCAATCACCTCCTCATCCCCTTGGAATCAATGAATCGTATCATAATGTGCTTCGGTGTTGTAGATCTTGAGTACTGAGCAGCATTATATTTAATGATATCTGTCTGTAGTTCTTGTAATATAACTGGTCCACCTTTTTTAAATTGGTTTACCCTGCTCAGTGCACGTACATTTAGAGAATGCATGAACACTCTCAATGGAAAAGCTGTGATGCCAGCAACATAGAAGCATCTTAGTATTGGTTGCCAAATTATGAGAAGAGACAGCTCCAGTATTCATTGACACATCTGTTGATTAGACCTCTCACAACCCTGTTGTTCTCTAAAATTAGTACGGATCCTGTGGTCACTTCTCTTTACTTAATTACATATTCTAGTTTAACTGGACAAGCCAATAGGTTCCAATTTGAATCGGCACAATTTTCTTATCATCTCAGTTGAAAAGGTCCATTCACAATATTTAGGACTATTTAAAGATATATATATATATATACCATCCCGCCTTTTATTTTCCTACTGTTTTTTTCTTTTTGTCTCCCTGGCAAACTTTATTTTTTTTATTTTTTTTATTTTTTCCTTTCTTAACTGGTGATGTATCGTTTGTGTTTTTTTATGTATTTAATGAATGTTTAAAATGACAATGGTGAATCTTTTGCTCTTTCTACAGATTCCGGTGGGGATCCTAAAGGGCAATGTTCTGCATTTGCCTCCATGTGGTCAGCATCCCATTGTGCTAAAAGTCTCTTTTCTGGATCATCATGAAGTTGAAGCAGAGGGTTGTGGTCCTTGCCCTGCTGCTGGTTATTCTAGTTCTCACAAAACTTCTCCTGCTGGACCGCCTGGAAACGTCAGCTGCCCAAAGGCAGGACCAGCTGTCTTTCCAGAGAATGATGTCCAGCTTGAAGCTCACTATGGACTCCCGGCTAGAGCACACACTCCAATCCCCATGGGAGATTGCATCACAGTGGGTTGTCCCGCGTGAAGTCTATCCGGAGGACACTCCAGAAATGGGAGCAGTTCTTCATGCTATGGTTACAAAGAAAATTGTAAGAGCTGATGTAGGATACAAAGGCACACAGCTTAAAGCTTTGCTGGTTCTTGATGGTGGACAAAAGGTGGTTTTCAAACCCAAGAGGTAAGGACAGTGTTTGTTATCTTGAGAAATAGTGTAGATATCAAGTGCCAAAATAGAAGGGATATTGCTAGCAAAAAAACCCAGTTACAATATATACCTACTCCCTGGCTTTTAGTATACTTTCCCTTTTCAAACATGAATAAGAGGCATTGATGATTATTAAAAAGCTTAAAGGGACACTATGGTCACCAAAACACATTTAGCCTAATGAAGTAGTTTAAGTGTATTGCATATGAAGTCTCACTGCTCAATTCTCTGCCATTTAGAAGTTAAAGGAACACTATAGTGTCAGGAACACAAAAATGTATTGCTGACACTATAGTGGTGAAATAATTTTGGGTCCCGGCCCCCATAGCCTCTCTTTGAAAAGGTGATTTTATTCACCTTTTTTCCTTGCTCATCTGTGGCTGAGATAATCAATCTTGATTATCTCAGCTAATCCAATGACTTATCATAGAAAAGAATTGGGAGGCTATTGTGCATGCGCAGCAAAACGCGCACTGCGCAAATCAACATCTTCACATTTAGATGCATTGAATCAGTGCATCTCTCTGGGGAATGTTCAGAGTCTCCGGGTTCTGCATGGAGACCCCTTAACGCCAGTGCTGCACAGTGGAAGCACTTATAGTGGCCAACTGAGTGACTGCCACTAGAAGTGTTACTAGGCAGTAATGTGAACATTTAAAAATAAATTTAAAAAAGCCTGCAGGGACAGGCTATAAATACCAGAACAATTACATTAAGCTGTAGTTGTTCTTGTGACTATAGGGTTCCTTGAAAGCACTTTTGTTTCTGTTTATGCAGCCTCTGGCTGTAACACACAAAGCCTGTATGAAATAAATAGTTTCATTTTCAATCAGATCTTAACTTACTTTATAAGTTTTTATTTCTTGCTCTGTAATTTGAACTTTAATCACACACGAGGTGTGTTAGACCTGCATGTTCTAACAAGCTATTGACTGTGCAGAAGCAAATAAATTCTAAATTAAACAGACTCTGTAATAAAGGAAGTGTAAACATTAGATCTCACTTTACAGGAAGTGTTTACAAAAGTATGACAAGGGCTGTGTAAACAAAGTGATTTACCTCCTAAATGGCAGAGAATTGAGTATGGACACTGCAATCTATGTACCAAAACTGCTTCATTAAGCTAAAGTTGTTTTTGTGATCATAGTGTCCCTTATAATAAATCCTGGTTCCTATTTCATATATGTGCAGTATTTCCTGTTCATGAATTTGTGTTGCACTAGCTCATGCATATATATTTCACCTGCAATGCTGATTAAATTTGAGTAGAGTCCTGTTCATTACTAAATTGCAACAGAAAAAAATTGAATGAAGTGTCTCAAGTTTATATACGTGTCCATAAATCACATTAGTTTTCTGTATGCAATTCAGTACGTGTGTAGCACCAATCACAACAGATACATGTCACTCTTTAGACATGAAAGCACTTATTCCTGTAGGCAACGCCGGAAAGTCTCTCGCACAGTAGCGTGCTACGCTTGCACCGAGTAGGAAAATGTAATTCCTGTTTCTCTGATTGACAGGGCTTCAAGCAGAACTAGAAGCTCCACTTTTAAAGCCCTGTTTTGTCAATGTGGAAAATAATAAAATTATGCGGAAGCAGGGACAGTATTCTGGCACCTATAACCACTTCAATAAGCAGAATTTAGTTTGGGCCGTGTTTGTTAAATGAAAAGATAAGAAAATGTGTTCTGGTCACAAATGCAGAAGTACAATTTGTATTAATTTACTATTGTCTATAGCATAGAGTTTTTATATATATATATATATATATATATATATATCGCCATCAAATTCCGCAGCGCTTTACAATGGGTGGACGAACAGACATGTAGTTGTAACCAGACAAGTTGGAAACAGAGGAGCTTACATGCTAGAGGGAGTGGGGTATAGTAACACAAAAAGGTAAGGATAGTGTTAGACTAATGACCGTTGCAGGTGGTTACCACAGACCACTTCTCAGTTCCTATGTTTTCTGGCTGATGTTTTGGTCACTTTTGAATGCTGGCGGTGCTTTCACTCTAGTGGTAGCATGAGACGGAGTGTACAACACACACAAGTGACTCAGGTAGTGCAGCTTATCCAGGATGGCACATCAATGCGAGCTGTGGCAAGGTTTGCTGTGTCTGTCAGCGTAGTGTCCAGAGCATGGAGGCGCTACCAGGAGACAGGCCAGTACATCAGGAGACGTGGAGGAGGCCGTAGGAGGGCAACAACCCAGCAGCAGGACCGCTACCTCCGCCTTTGTGCAAGGAGGAACAGGAAGAGCACTGTCAAAGCCCTGCAAAATGACCTCCAGCAGGCCACAAATGTGCATGTGTCTGCTCAAATGGTCAGAAACAGACTCCATGAGGGTGGTATGAGGGCCCGACGTCCACAGGTGGGGGTTGAGCTTACAGCCCAACACCGTGCAGGACGTTTGGCATTTGCCAGAGAACACCAAGATTGGCAAATTCGCCACTGGCGCCCTGTGCTCTTCACAGATGAAAGCAAGTTCACACTGAGCACATGTGACAGACGTGACAGTCTGGAGACGCCGTGGAGAACGTTCTGCTGCCTGCAACATCCTCCAGCATGACTGGTTTGGCAGTGGGTCAATAATGGTGTGGCATTTCGTTGGGGGGGCCGCACAGCCCTCCATGTGCTCGCCAGAGGTAGCCTGACTACCAATAGGTACCAAAATGAGATCCTTAGACCCCTTGTGAGACCAAATGCTGGTGCGGTTGGCCCTGGGTTCCTCCTAATGCAAGACAATGCTAGACCTCATGTGGCTGGAGTGTGTCAGCAGTTCCTGCAAGACGAAGGCATTGATGCTATGGACTGGCCCATTCCCCAGACCTGAATCCAATTGAGCACATCTGGGACATCATGTCTCGCTCCATCCACCAACGTCACGTTGCACCACAGACTGTCCAGGAGTTGGCAGATGCTTTAGTCCAGGTCTGGGAGGAGATCCCTCAGGAGACCATCCGCCACCTCATCAGGAGCATGCACAGGCGTTGTAGGGAGGTCATAGATGCACGTGGAGGCCACACACACTACTGAGCCTCATTTTGACTTGTTTTAAGGACATTACATCAAAGTTGGATCAGCCTGTAGTGTGTTTTTCCACTTTAATTTTGAGTTTGATTCCAAATCCAGACCTCCATGGGTTGAAAAATTTGATTTCCAATTTTTAAGTTTTGTGTGATTTTTGTTGTCAGCACATTAAACTATGTAAAAATGAAGTATTTCAGAAGAATATTTAATTCATTCAGATGATGTGTTATTTTTGTGTTCCCTTTATTTTTTTTGTGCAGTGTCTCCATACATACATACATACATACATACATACATACATACATACATACATACAGTTATTCACTGGTTGGTGATTGTGCTTTAGATAGTGGATATGGAAGACAAAAATAGAGAAAAGGTCCAATGGTGGAATAACTGCTACAGTGAGATATCACTACACTGATCATGATTGCTTCCAGCAGCTCTAATGGTATTGTAGAAATGCCTCGATGTTGAGGCATCGCTGCAATACCCCCCTCACTACCCTCCCTCCCCATGTAATTATTGATCGCCGCCATTCCCCCGACGGCGATCAGTCTACTTCTTAGGGGGATTGTCTGGGCTCAGCCCAAAGAGGCCCCCCTCTGCAATTTAGGCCCCCGAGGGGCCATGTCACATCGCCGCAATAGGTGTCCACAGTGCTGCCAGCAGAGGGACTGCCTGAACTGCCCTGCTGGTGAGAAAAGTAAAAAAAACAAAGTTAATAAATTTAAAAAAAATATGTGTGTGTATATGTCATGCTGTGTGAATTTTTAATTAATATATACATACACTTAGAGTAACATTACACGTGTGTGTATGTATGTATATGTGTGTGTGTGTGTGTGTATATAGTATAAAAAATATAAAATGTAAAAATTATTGTAAAATATATGTGATTTTATCCTAACTGTATTTTGATATTAATATATGTATATCAAAATACTTAGAATGACATTTTTATATATATATATATATATATATGTGTGTGTGTATACAAATAAATAAAAATACGAAATATAGAGATGTCCATATACATAATTATTTTCATAAATATACACGTAGACTTCATGTGTTTGTGTATATATAAATAACAAGGGCTTGCACTCCTGGTTAAATTCTTTATGCCCAGGTCTGGCAAAATCATGTAGATACAGTAGAAAGGACCGCACTCCAAGGTCTATCACAAAGACCTTGGAATGCGGTTCGTTCTACTGTGTGTGTGTGTGTATGTATATATAATTTAAATTCTACGTGCATATTTATGTAATATTTTTTACATAATTTTATTGATTGCAATTTGGGGAACCTGTCTGACAACCAAGGCTGAAAGTCCAGAGAATTTAATTTGCTAGCACTATATTTAACGCTGTAACTTTCCAAGACACCATAAAACCTGTACATGTGAGGGTACTGTTTTACTCGGTAGACTTTGCTGAACACAAATAATAGTATTTCAAAATAGTAAAACCTATCACAGCGATGATATTGTCAGTGAAAGTTAAGTTTTTGCATTTGTCACACACAAATGCCACTTTCACTGATGATATTGTTGTAATACATTTTACGATTTTAAATCACTAATATTTGTGTTCAGCAAAGTCTCCCGAGTATAACAGTACCCCTCATATACAGGTTTTATAGTGTTTTTGAAAGTTATAGGGTCAAATATAAGACCATTTGTTTCACATAGAAATTTGCCAGATTGGTTATGTTGCCTTTGAGAGCGTATGGTAGCCCAGGAATGAGAATTACCCCCATGATGTCATACCATTTGCAAAAGAAGACAACCCAAGGTGTTCTAAATGGGGTTTGTTCGGTCTTTTTTAGTAGTCACTTAGTCACAAACACTGGCCAAAGTTATCGCTCATAATTGTTTTCTGCATTTTTAACACATAAACAAATACAAATGCTAACTTTGGCCAGTGTTTGTGACTAAGTGGCTATGAAAAAAGACTGGACATACCCCATATTGAATACCCTTGGTTGTCTACTTTTCAAAAATATATTGTTTGATGGGGTAAGTTACATTGGTCGGCTTCAAAAATGTCCCTAATAGGACATGGGTGCATGATGACCAGCTGTGACAGTTCCAAGTTGTAAAACTGGAATGCACACCCTCCAAATAAGGTCTTTTAGCCCCCAGAGTAACCGACACACCTATACATGGGTGGTGTTACTGTACTCTGCAGATGTTGCTGAACACATATTGGGGTGTTCTTTGGCAGTAACCCAGAGTACATGTGTTCTTTTTTTTTCAATATATTTTATTTTTCAATTTTCAATGGTCATGCAAAGAATAAAAGGGGATTAATTTAGGAGGGGATACACGGAGAGAAAAAAGGGGGGGGGGGAGGGTGACAATGCATATACAATGTATCATATTCTTACAAAAGTATCGTTAACAGCTGTACATAGAATAAGATATTAGCCACAAGTCACCAGCTTCAGGATAAATTACATACATTAGTAGTTACATATACATGTGTGCCTGAAACGGTCTAAGACACTGAATTGTTTCCGTACGCCCTAACTGTAAGACCTCTGGGGCGAGGGGAAAGGAAGGGTGGGAGGGTTGGCGAAGTTGAGCTATGGCAGTGAAATTTTGTACTGTATCGTGGTGAAAAGCTGTTACATTGGGTAGCACTCTTTACCTAGAAGCCCTTGGAAAGTATCATGTACATAATCTCAATTACATCTTGCCGTACCTATAATCCACCCATCTGCGCCACCTTGTTTCATGTCTGCTCTGCCTCTCAGTGATGCGACTTGCCATGCGCTCGTAATTATAAATCGAATCTAGTCTACCTAAAATCTCTGATAGCGTGGGAGCTTGTGTGGATTTCCACTTTTGGGCAATCGCTGTTTTAGTTGCCATGAGGCAGTGGATCATTAAGTAGCTTTCATCTTCATGGAGGTTGTCTGGGAAGATGTGTAATAAAAAACATTCTGGTGTCGGAGGTACCCCGATCCCTAGGTTTTTGCAAAAAAGTGTGTGGATGTCTTGCCATAATGATGTGATCTGTGTACAATTCCAAAATATATGGTAAAGGGACCCCTCTTGATTGTGACATCTCCAACATAGTTTGTTCGCTCCTGGGTATATGTGGGCCAGTTTGTTGGGGACCAGGTACCATCGCATGGTTAGTTTGCAGTACGTTTCCCACTGATTAAGGCTGTGTGAGGCCTGCTTTGTTAGCTTCTGAGCCCGATGCCACGTGTTTACTGGGAAATGTAGTCCCAGGTCCAATTCCCAGTTTGTCATATAGGAGGGTTTTGTTGCCGTGTATTGTGTAAGAAGTGTATTGTAGCAGAGGGCTAGTGCTTTCTCTTTGGGAAGCTTCCCCGTACATTTATGTACAAATGGTGATATGAGATTAGACTCTTTCAAGATAATCCTGCTTTCCTGTAAGATATTCTTTAGTCTCAGATAGGTGAATAGTTCCCTGGGTGGAATATGAAAATCCCTGACCAAGTCAGGGAATGGTTTGATACCTTCTTGGGTCAACAAGGAACGTACCCCAGAGATCCCCCGGCTAAGCCAGTTTCCTAGCTGCAGGCTCGACGTATGGGCAGTCAAGGCCTGAAGTGGTGCTTCAAGGAGTAGGTCATTCTCCTTGAGGAATCGAGGGGTAGTTTGCCTCCAAGTCTGGAGCAATGTCCCCGTGGTTGGTAACAGGTTTTTGGGTTGTAAGAGTACATGTGTTCTTAAATTGCTATGTGTGTCAAAAAAAACCAAAAACAATTATTATTATTATTATTATTATTATTATTTTAAAATTTGGCATAGATTGGTGGTAAAATGGTTGCATGAAAAGACTCAAAATACCCCAAGTTTAAAACCTTAGGTTGTCTTCTTTTAAAAAATATATACATGTGAAGGGTTATTCAGGGATTCCTGACCGATATCAGTGTTACAATGTAACTTGCGTTCATTTTGGGGAAAAAATGGAAATAGCAAAAAACACACATGTTAACATTGGGCATTTCTAAACTATATGATATGATGAAAATAATTGGTATCTTTAGAAAGACCATTTATTGGCGAGAAAAACTGTATATTATATGTGTGGGCACAGTAAATGAGTAAGAATTTAAACTTCGTGAATATCTGGAAATGCCTCTAGTGGCTCTCTGCTAAAAAAAAAAAAAAAAACATTGCAGATTCTCTAAAACACAGGAACGGGAAAGTGCAGCCAGATCACTTCAATGAGATGAAGCACCCTGTGTTCCTATAGTGTCACTTTAATTTTCCACAGCACTTGTTATAACCAAATTATTTTCTACTTTTATTTATTGGCATTTCAGATATAGCCGTGATTACATTGTGGAAGGAGAACCGTATGCTGGTTACGATCGGCATAATGCAGAGGTGGCCGCCTTTCACCTAGACAGGTAAATATTCTAAATGTTCCCTTTCTGGATCAGGTATGAACAGATTACAAGCGTGCTAAGAAACCTCTCATATTTCAGGATCCTTGGTTTCCGACGGGCCCCACTTGTTGTTGGAAGGTTCGTGAATCTCATTACTGAGATTAAGCCTGTAGCTACTGAGCAGCTTCTGAGCACCTTTCTAAAGCAAGGTGAGTACTGCTAATAATGCCTTCAGGGTCTTTACAAAGTAAGGTATTTCTTTTTCTCACACGTACTAAATATAAACATTTTATTTTTGCTTTTGTAGTAACATTTTGCATACTTTCTAAAGCTTCTCCTATCCCTATAAAATGTATAAAGAGAGCATATGGATAATAAAAATTGTGCAGATTTACACAATTTAAATTTTTAAGCTTGTCATAAAATAAATCTATACAAAAATTACTGTTTTATTGTATGCTAATGCGCTCTCTGTGCATCCCATGTTTCAAACATAAAGTGCTTGGTAGTGAAGGGGTTAATACTGGGAGAGAACATGTGGTCTGCACCTGCACTGCAGGTCAGTGTGAATGTTCCTTCCAGTCCAGTGCTCCTCGTTGACTTGGTGTTGGCAGAGTAACCCGTAGGCAGCACTTTGAGTAAGACAGACGAGGCAGACCAATGAGAAAGTGCGGATTGTGATCTGCACCAGTCCAAGGTGCAGACTACAAGCTTCCTCCAAGCATTAAGGGGCACAAATCTGGTAAAGAACATGGTTTGACCACCCTTTTGGCCTATGCCACAGCAGGGTTCTCTGAGCCAGTGCTCTAGGCAAATATGGTGACACAGGCCCTGCTTTTTACTCCTCATTCCGACTGGCTTATTCACTACTCTACAAATTGTCAGATTATGACCGGGGAAGCTAGCCAAAGTAAACAAATTCTTTATATTTTTGTTATTTTGGCTTAAATCTTGTTTTCCTGGTTAATTGCTGCTACTAGCAGTGTAACTTGACTGTTGACTGATTTATGCTACACTAAACAGGAAGGCAGTCCACTTTCTGCTACTAGGATTGCATTATCCATAACAAATGTCACAGCCTCAATCTATACACAACACTGAAACCCATATAAGAAACCACAAACTATTTCTTTACCAAAATCAAGCGTCATATTGATTTATTTTGGAAAAAACATAACAGACCTACTTTAAAGGTCCACTCTACACCCAGCTTGGTGAGGAGTATCCCCTGTCAAAGGCACTTTTTTATAAAATAATATTTTACATATAACCCCATTGAATGCATGCATATTTTCATTGGGGATATATGTGCTACATAGTGATTTTTACTCTCTTGCCTATTTGGGCAGCGGTGTTTCCTTTTAATGAAAAATGTGATTGTTGCCTGATTTTGGCCCAATATCTGCATGCTTTTACCCTAGCTATGTGATGGGCATAAAAAGACTTGCAGATTGGCTTCTCTCAGTAACAACTTATCCTATTCCTCTGTCTTTTTTTTTTTTTTCTTTCAGGGAATAACTCCTGCTTTTACGGGAAATGTTACTACTGCCGGGAGACCGAGCCAGCCTGTGCTGACCGGGAAACAATGGAAGGTTCGGTAACTCTCTGGCTGCCAGATGTCTGGCCACTACAGAAACATAGGCATCCATGGGGAAGGACATATCGTGAGGGAAAGCTAGCAAGGTAACCTACTCATAAGTTCACCTATCTCCTACTCCCAGTCACCTACTACACACTTCTTCTTAAACAGCACCTCTGTCAAACAGCACTACAGATACCACAAACTGTTCTGCCGTTTCCCTCAGGTGGGAATATGACGAAAGTTACTGTGATGCTGTGAAAAAGACTTCCCCCTATGATTCAGGACCACGGCTTCTGGATATCATTGACACTGCCATCTTTGACTACCTTATTGGTAATGCAGATCGACATCACTACGAGAGCTTCCAGGATGATGAGGGAGCCAGCATGCTCATACTGCTGGACAATGCCAAAAGGTTAGAGCAAGGTTTTTGTGTGTGTGTCTGTCTCTCTCTCTCTCTCTCTCTCTCTCTCTGATATTTTGGGAAAAACTTATAATTATTCACTGTTCATATCAAATGATAACCATTTTTTTAATGTCCTAATTTAAATTGTAAATAAAGTGAAAATTCAAAACTTTGTAACTGAAAATAAATTTATGAAGAATGTTAGTTCTTACCTTCCTCAAAGTAGAAAAATAGAGGTAGAAAGATAAGAATATGTAATATTCTCAGAGAGACTCAAGATGGGGGTCAAATGCAAATTGATGTAACTCTGTTTGTGTGTAAGGAAGACATTGGGTAGTTGTTTTGTTTAGGAGTACCCCATTGTGTATGTGTGATGCCATGAGTTGCTGTTGGTGTCTAATACTTTCCTTCTAGTTGGTTTAAAAAATTACTAGATCTTAAAAAAAAAAAAAAATTGGAGATGGGAAGTTGAAGCTAAAAAATAAAAATCTTTCTGCAAAGTTATTGTGCTGAGAGTACCCTGCAGACATTCTCAAAAGTGAGAGTGGCTTATAACTGCAGCGATTTGTAAAAAGCTCTTCAGAGTTGTGTTCTAGGCATCTGTAACCCTCATTTTGTCAAACTTGTTTGGTTGATCTGGACCGAGCTCTCTTTCCACCCTGAGAGAGAGCTGAGCCTCGGAATACCACTGCCCATAGCAGCACACAGCTTGGTTTACTCTTTAATGTGTAAACTGATAGCCTTGACAGTATGGGTGCTGCCGTTTAAAGAGCATTTCATCCTTTGTGACGAGGACTGCTTGTCCCATAATGCTGAATAGAAGTTAATGGGATGATAACAGACTGTAATGACCAGAATAAAAAATTTCCTGGTGAGGGAGGGTTCTGTCTGCTGCTCACATTTGCTTTCATCACACATCTGTTAAGTTTTGCTTTTGTAACGGTTATTTTCTTCTTTCAGTTTCGGGAATCCATCTTTGGATGAGCGCAGTATTTTGGCCCCTCTGTACCAGTGCTGCATGTAAGATCAGACACATTAATTAATTTAAAATCCTATATTTTCCATATATTCTGTTTGCTGACTATATTTTTTTTGTTGTTGTTGTTGTGTTCCTAACAATCTCTTCTTCTGCTTGCAGTATTCGTGTTTCCACCTGGAACCGACTCACTCACTTGAAACATGGCTCCTTGCGATCAGCACTACTCTCCGCTACTGCTCATGATCCTATTTATCCTGTCCTGTCTGAAGCTCATCTAGAAGCCCTAGAACGCCGGCTACAGGGAATTCTGGGAACTGTTCAGCAATGCATAGACCAGTTTGGCAATGATGTGGTTATGGTGGAGGACAGGATGACCCTTTCCCATTTGTAATACTGTCCATTTGAAACTACAATGATTGGTTGAAAACAAGACACCATCATTGGTGTTTGGTTATTTTTGTTTTGTTTTTACAAGCCACCACACAAATCAATGTGTAAACAGCACAGAGCACCCTACAGTTCCTAAACCTTAGACCCTACCGACTGCAACCCTGGAATAACATGTGTCTCACAGGAAAGCTGTTGGACTCCGAAGACTTCTCTTGCAGCCGCTGTCCGGTCTGAATTGCATGAACCTGCACAATGATGATATCTAATGAACAAGGCAGATTTGACAAGCCATTGATGGAGCACAGTTTGTTGAAATTTGTTGGCTAAGACGGTCTTCTTCTTTTTAAGGATCTCCTCTTTTTACTATGCGGGTGTTGGTTTACAACCATAAAGTTAGCTAAATGTCCAGTAGGTGGCACTGGCCAACTTGAACAGCACTTTGTGGTACGTGTTAAGAGCTTTTTTCATTTTTAATGGGTTCAGTACCTCAGTGACCTTGGCTAGTTCTGATAAATTATTAGACCTCTAATTTATGAACTAATCTAAAACAAAAACAAAAAAATGGCATTAAGGGATTTATTTGGGCCATTGTTTCCCCCCTTGTCATCCATCAGTGGAATCTCTAGAGCATTACACTATGAACCCTCTCAGTGCCTGGGAGCTCTGGGACAATTCGATGCACTCCCTCCTGCCTCTCGTGTTTTATATCTCTTTGCCAGTGTGCAAATCATGTGTTCCTTTTGGCCACATGCACATTGACTTTTGTTTTATGGTTACAATCATTTTGTCTCGTCACATGTTGATTAGTCCTTTTGCTTCTTCAATATGGACAATGGAGCAACGTAAAAAGCCAGACACAGAGCAAACCATTCAACAGAAATCTTTCAAAAATCCATGTCGACTTTTTAACTTAATTTTAAAAATGTTTTGCTTTGTTTCCAAGGCTGCATTAATGTGTAATAATGCCAACCTGTCAGATGTGAAGTTAATGATTGTCTCAAGATTTATTTTTTAATTTCCTTGCGAACCTAGTTTATTCACTAGGTTATCATAGTGGATTGAAAACTAAATTGCAAAATGTAGTCCGAAATTGCTGACGTGCAAAAATTATCCACACCAACGCCAGTCACAGTTTGGCTATGTTAGCCTGCATATTTCAGTTTACTTTTCAATTCACTGTTTAGTGCATACGTCACAGTTTTTGTTTTGTATTTTTCCCCATTTTAATTACCATCTTTAAAGGGACACTCCAACACCTGGAGAGGTTTATGTGAGTTTACCTTGGCTAACATGCAAGCTGGAAAGGGTCCAGTTGATGCAGAAAATTGACTTAGATTTTCAGGAAAGCTTGCTAAAAGCATTAGAAATTCCCAGGTACATTTGCAGTAACTCCATGAGCATGTGTACTGGTCCGTGCACATGCTCATTGTTCTAGTGCTCTTGTCTAAAAGCTTTCTACTTTAAAATGTATGTCAGCGATATCATGAACATTGCATGCATGTGAGCTCTCCGTCCTGCTCCCATTAAATTGTATGGAAGACACAGATTACATGAAAAGCCTGTCAGACACTTCCTTATTGCTACAGTATGAGAATAGAACATTCAAAGCGGAATTGTGAAAATTATAGTATTTTTGTTTTGCTAATGCATTGAAATTTTTTATTAATCACCCTTAATAATTTCTTGTGTTTTTATATGATGTAAGGGATTGCTTTGCATACTGTAGATCTGTCGTCCATGTTAGTGCTCAGCCTTTTATTTATTTATTTTTATTTTGGGGATACTTTAAGTGCCAGGAATACAAAGCTTTGTATTCCTGGCACTATAGCTCCCTCTACCTCCCACCCTCCCTGGCGGCCCCCTGTCCCCCCCACTCTGGTAAATAAAGGGTTAAAAAAACTTTATTTACTTATTACCTTTCCCAGCACTGATGTTCCTTGGGGGCTAATGCGCAAATTCCACACACGCATTAGACCTCCCCATAGTAAAAGCATTGATTCACTGGTTTCCTATGGGGACAAAATCTGAGGCTGAATGTCCTCATGCAGAGCGTGAGGACATCCAGCGTCCGTTACCGGCCAAAGGTCTGTTTGGATGCAGGAAGCGCCTCCAGTGGCTGTCTGGTAGACAGCCACTGGAGCCAGACTTAATGTTTCTCTGGAACTGTAATGTTTAACATTGCAAAACTAAGTGCACTAGGGACATTGCACCCAGAACACTTCAATGAGCTGAAGTGGTCTGGGTGCCTATAGTGTCCCTATTTAATTTGTTTTTATACATACAATTGTATGATCACATAGTTAGTAGTAACTGAAAATGTATTGATTACAATTCATTCTTACATGTAGCTTCTTAGCTGGTGCAGGAAATGTAATATCCTTATAACCCACCCCCATCCACAGAAGGAAAAAAAAAGGGAAATTGGGAAATGATGTCCAGGAAAATACAAGTTGGTTTGTAAAATAATTTACAAATAATTATTTTTAAATTGTAAAATTACTTCTGGAATAATACTACTGCATTTAACTTTTTTAACAGAGCATAAAAAAAATCTACCTGTACAGTGTGCAAGCAGATTTGCTGGCAAATGAATAGGTCTTTTTATTTTTTTACAACTGTCAATCAGTTTTTAGCATAGACCCGTGTCAACAGGGAGAGCAGGAGAGACCATTAACAGGCAGCTCTTCTGCTTCCTCAACATAGCAACCACAGACTAACTCCCTCTGTGGGTAGACCAAAGGTGGGTATTACAGATAAACTGTAAGTAAACTGGAATTAATAATGAAGACAACACTATAAATCACATTTTTTTGATACAAAGCTCCAGGATTTGTAATTTCTACAGTGAGCTTCGACCAAACCAAGACGTTGCTCATAAAGCCCACACGTAGCTCTCAGTGAGCATGTTGAGTAAATAAATGTGATTTGTAGTTCAGCAGTCACGTTTCTACAGAAAGCTACAAAACCTTCAGAAAAAGCCACAAAATATATACAGCGTTTAGTTGAAAATTGAATGCTGCGAACTGAAACCTCACAGGATGATACAGCTTTACATGATGTCATTGGACAAAAGGGCAAATAGTGGAGGTAAAAACCTAATATATAAATATAAATGCTACAATCGGTATAATTTACTGCATTTTGACTACTATTGCACATAAATTGTGGGTGCCCAGAGTGTCCCATAAAAGAAGTCATGGCTATCTTTAGCTCTACAGATGTTTGTCAGCTCAGTTTGCCACGTTGCTCGGCCAACTTCAAAGATCTGCAGTGCCAAAGGTAATCATCTGTCTTTTGATTAACCCTTTTTTGGGAGGCTGTTTTAATCCCTCTCAAAATACTTAAAGGGACATTTTGGAACTATGAATCTCAATGAAGTCAATTTTAGTTTCTGGCGGTCCTAGGTACTGTCTTACTTTAAGCAGTTACATTCTACAAATTGTTTAACCCCAAAGTATTTTAGGCAGTGCCCGTCTTTTAGGCCCTTCTGCCTCCTCCTCCAGCCCCACCTTCAATGCAGAAACCTTTCAGTAGGGCATCTGCGATCGCATGAGAATATCAGCTTAAGGTAACATGGTGCCTAATGCCTAGTACCTCCAGATACCATAATGACTTTCATGAGATGACGTTTTTATGGTGATCTTAGCGGCCCTTTACGTACATTTGGTCTAAGCATATGGTAATGGATATTTAGGAGGCTGAGTTGCAAGGTTGTGTCTTATTCTATTACATACAGGTACTCCTCGCTTAACGACTGCTTGGATATATGACCAGCTTTATGGTGCAGGGAATCCCCAAATCTGAGTCGCGGGAATTCCCAGAACATAGATTCGAGGGATTCCCCGCGTTAGTGAGCTAGTCAATGTTCAAGGGAATTCCCCGAACATAGACCTGCTCACTAGCTCATGCAAGACCTCGTTGTTGCACCGGTCAGAGGGATCCTTGTTTAACGACCTAGTCATAGGAACAGAACTCTGTCAGTAAGTGAGGCGTGCCTGTATTCCAGAGGAATACTCGAAGTATGTAGAGAGATGTAGCATTACACTACTCCTTACAAAATGCTTTTGTCATCATCCACTAGAGGGCACCAAATCTCAATCTTCTATGTACATGTGGATATCACGGCTAAAAAAAAAAGGTTTGTCCCGTGATAGGATGTTTTAACTTTGCTCTGTGTCTGTGCTGGCAGCATCCATCACAGGGGCAGTTTACTCACTAAATACTGAATTGTGGTGACCCAAGATCTGAATTTGTTGAATTTAGGCTAACATAGCCAAATGGAAATATAGCTGAAGTAGAGCATTTTTCTTACCTTGGCTATTTTGCCAATTTATATGATTCCTTACAATGTACGGTTTTAGGAAATAAACCCCAAAGTGTCCCATGTGCAGAACATGGCACAGCTAACTCAGTGGATTATATTTTATTGTGAAAAAGCTGCTAGAATTGATGTGGAAATGTTTGGTATAAGGGAATTTCATCCTTGCTGAGGTGTTCTGGGGTAATTCATTGCTATGTAAAAATAAAGAACAAAGCTTTTAAGAAAACAATAATTAAAAAAAAAAAGTATAAAACTGAAAAGCGTTGTTGGTGGTTTATGGATATTTTAGAGCATTGCCCATGACTGATACCCTGCTTAAGCTTATTAATTTTATTATTGGCATTCATAAATTGCTACACAATATATGTATGTTAATTGAAAGTTAAACCAATGTTGACAGATACAAGATGTTAAAGTCCTGCTCAGATGAGCTTACCTGCTAGGAGGAAGTAGAGTAAAGGAACATGTCATAGGAATAGGGATTGACCGGTATGGTGCCTTTGTCTAGTTAAAGGGACACTATATGCAAACAGACCACTTCAGCTCATTGACGTGGTCTTGGTGCACTGTCCCAGGTCTCTTAACCCTGCAAAGGTAATTATTGAATTTTTTAAGAAACTGCAATAATTACCTGCACGGGTTAACTCCACCTCTAGTGGCTGTCTACCAGCCACTTGCGGGACTTCCGGGCTGTGCATGGGGACGTCCAGCGTCACCCAAAACCGCATTAGGTCCTCCCTGCAGGCTGATGTCTGTGTGGGAGGAGTGACGGTGGACCTGAGCCAGCGCTGAGGGACATTGGCACTGGACCCAGGTAAGTGACTGGAGGAAGGGGGGGGGGGATGCGAGGGAGGTGAAAGCTATAGTACTTTTGTTTTCCTGGCATTATAGTTTCCCTTTAAGCTTGTAAATAGTGAGTGTAGGAATCTTTAGAGTGGAAGGTAAAGTGGTCGGTGAGACAACAGGTTATATATGAATCGACAGGAGGACTGCTGAAACTAGAGGGCATTCCATAGGAATAGTGCAGCACTAGAGAAATCCTATAGGTGAGAAGAATAGATGAGGTCACAAGAAAAGTGATTAAGAGGTGGATTAAAGGACCACTATAGTGCCAGGAAAACACTCGTTTTCCTGGCACTATAGTGCCCTGAGGGTGCCCCCACCCTCAAGGTCCCCCTCCTGCCTGGCTCTGGAAAGTGGTTAAAACTTACCTTTTTCCAGCGCTGGGCGGGGAGCTCTCCTCCTCCGTTCCGCCCCGCCGGCTGAATGCGCACGCGCGGCAAGAGCTGCGCGCGCATTCAGCCGGTCACATAGGAAAGCATTCTCAATGCTTTCCTATGGACGCTGGCGTTCGCTCACTGTGAAAATCACAGTGAGAAGCACGCAAGCGCCTCTAGTGGCAGTCAATGAGACAGCCACTAGAGGGAATGGGGGAAGGCTTAACCCACTGATAAACATAGCAGTTTCTCTGAAACCGCTATGTTTATGAAAAAATGGGTTAACCATAGAAGGACCTGGCACCAAGATCACTTCATTAAGCTGAAGTGGTCTGGGTGCCTAGAGTGGTCCTTTAAAGAGGAAATGTAATGATGAGTGGAATTGGTTAGACTTTGTTAATGGCAGTAGCTTGATTCAGCTCCTCCAAAGGCGAATGTACCAGCCAATGTAATGGGATGAGATGTGAAAGGAGCAATAGGAAAGAAGGGAATCCTTCATTACAGATTTTATTGGGCACTGTAGGTGTTAGGAAGACTGATAAGTAAGCTGTGATAGTTAAAGAGTGAAAAAAAGTGCTTTAGTATCATCGGGCATTAGAGATAAGTCAATACATGCCATGATTTGGAGACAGGATGGATGTGCGAAGAAAAGGTGGGACCAGAATGAAAAGTAACACAAAGGCATCGAGTTTGTGGGTAGGTTGGGGTTAATGGGTGTTCCATTGATTTTGAAGGAGGAGAGAAAATGGAGTTGGAGTATTCAAAGAAAAAAAAAAGTAGTGGTTCAGTGTTGGAAAGACACAAGTTTTAGAAAAAGGGAAAACATTGAGTTAGACAGAGCAGAGAGTTAGTGCCATGTTCTGGGAGGATATTTATGAGATCAGGGGAGGAGAGGTTAATCTGAGTGTCAAGAACATATACCAATAGAGACAGTATAAAGCGAAAACTAGACTGGATAAGGTGAGATGAAATGATCTAGGAGATAGGTGGTCGGATGAGAGGTTAGAAGTGCAAAAGCCTCCTTTTAGATTTATTGCGGATAAAGCACTTATTCCAGCACAAGCCTCTCAAGAACAGTGCTTCTTTATTGGGTGTCTTGCCTTACAAATGTGGGTATAGTGCTATCCCCAAGGTGACCACACAAAAATGAGCAATACTTTAACCACAGCAGAATACCTAATCGGCAAGGGTACAAGGCACTCACTTATAGTGGATATCTGTATCCAATGAATCCCCAAGATGATATATATTTATCATATACATCTTAAAGGACCACTCTAGGCACTCAGACCACTTCAGCTTAATGAAGTGGTCTGGGTGCCAGGTCCTTCTAGGGTTAACCCATTTTTTCATAAACATAGCAGTTTCAGAGAAACTGCTATGTTTATGAATGGGTTAAGCCTTCCCCTATTTCCTCTAGTGGCTGTCTCATTGACAGCCACTAGAGGCGCTTGCGTGCTTCTCACTGTGATTTTCACAGTGAGAGCACGCAGCGTCCATAGGAAAGCATTGAGAATGCTTTCCTGGACCTGAAGCTTGCATTCAGCCGGCGAACGGAGGAGGAGAGGAGAGAGCTCCCCGCCCAGCGCTGGAAAAAGGTAAGTTTAACCCCTTTTCCCCTTTCCAGAGCCGGGCGGGAGGGGTACCCTGAGGGTGGGGGCACCCTCAGGGCACTATAGTGCCAGGAAAACGAGTATGTTTTCCTGGCACTATAGTGGTCCTTTAAAGGGGAATTTAAGTCTAACAATTTTTTATTTATTTATTTTTCCCATTGAGTCCATCTGGTGACAAGGTGCCCAACGCATAAATCCAAAAACCCTCACTTTTTAACTGGTCAAATTCACAACTGCACCCCTCTTCCCACCCCCAAAGATGGTGGCACATGGTCAATACTCGCACCCAAAGTGTGGCGAATAGGTTCTTCATATCCATGAAGTGTCGCACCACAGGAATAATTAATGAGCCCATTGCTAAGGCTGCTCGAAAGGAGGATCTACATCCCCTCATTCTATCCCTTAAATAATTGGAGGGCTTCCCAAAGTATGTAGGTCCACCACACAAGATGTTTGGAATTGTCTATGTGGACTTGCTACATTGGGAAGCCCTCCAATGATTTAAGGGAGAGAATGAGGGGATATACACCCTCCATTTGGACAGCCGTAGGAATGGGCTCATTACACAGTGCTGGATTAAAATATAGTATAAACCACCAAACCCAAAATTACAAAACAGAGAAACCTATACCCTCTATGAAGAAACAAGGTACACTATCATTATAAATAGCATAGCTGGTCCTTAAAGGAACCATCTGGACACCATAACAACTTGGAATGACGTGCCAGGACATTCCTGGTGCTGACTTACCTGTACGAGTTGAACAATTCATAAGGAGTTCAACCGCAAAGTTAAGCACCCAACGCACAGTCACTCTGTTCTCTCGTTGATCAGAATCTTGAAATAGAAAGTCTCGGACAGGACCACCACTGATTGGCTGAGAGCGTCTGCTGGCAGTAGCTCCCCATTCACAACACAGCTTGAGCAAAATATGTATATATCTTAAGCCATTTGTGAATGGGGAGCTACTGATTGACTTAAAGAGTTAGCTGGCACTTTAAGCCAATTAGCGGTGCCACTTTTAAAGACTTCATCTTTCATGATTCTCAGCCGTAGAAGTATAGAGGGCTAAGCAATCTATTACTGGATACTGGACTTTGGAATTAAACCATTCATGATTGGTTGAATCTCTTAAAGGGACACTATAAACACCAAGACCACTTCATCTCATTGAACTGGTCTAGGTGCAGTGTCCTAGTCCCATGTAGTCCTGCAATGTAAATCATGGCCGTTACTGAGGAGCGGCAATGATTACATTGCAGGACTAAGACTGCCTCTAGTGGCTGTCAATCAGACAGCCACTAGAGGCTCTTCCTGGTGGTTAAGTGACTTTTGGTCACCTGACACTGGGCGTCCAAACACTCTGCATGAGGACATCCAGTGTCCGTAAAATTTCCATAAGAAAACATGGAAGCAATGTTGTCCTATGGAGAGGGCCTAATATGCTTGTCGCACATGCGCTTTAGCCCACACACCCCTGCAGAGGAAGCGGGGCACTGACACAGGGCCTGGGCACATTGGCGCCTGAATCAAGTAAGTGTTAAAGGGTTGGTTTTCTTAAACCTTTATATGCCGGGGAGAAAGGGTGCGAGAGGGAGGGGGGTCAAATGGAACTATAGTGTAAGGAATTAAACTTTGTATTTCTTACACTATAGAATCCCTTTAAGGTTATGTTGACCAGTATGTTCCTTTAAAGGGACACTGTAGGCACCCAGACCACTTTAGCTCATTGAAGTGGTCTGGGTGCAAACTCCCATCACCCTTAACCCTGAGCATGTAATTACTGCAGTTTTTATAAACTAGGGTTAACTCCTCCTCTAGTGGCTCTAGAGCAAGCATGTCGAACTCAAAGGCTAGCACGACCCAAATAAACAAGGTTTAAGTTTATGTGAGCCGCAAAAAAAACTAAATTTTAATTTTCATAGAAACGTAAGTTTATTTTGAAAAGTACAGTATATAAAAAAAAACATCTTCTACTAAATCCCAGTCCCCCCTCCATTAAACCCCTGCCCTTGTTTAAAAAAAATAAATAAAAAATTAACCAACAACAAGCAGACTCCACTCACATTGCCGCTGCCAGTATGCGACGTCGGCAGGGGAAGAGTGTAGGCGGAGCTGAGCCAGCGCCGAGGGAAATCGCCGCTGGACCCAGGTAAGTGACAGAAGGAGTTATTAACCCTTTGACAGCAGTGGAAGCTATAGTGCCAGGACAATGAGCTTGTTTTCCTGGCACTATAGGTTCCCTTTAATGCTTCCTCATAGCCTTCATTTGTAAAATATATAACCAAGAGTCACTCACAACACACATGAACATGCCTACATTATAAGGTTGCTGCTGGGGCCAATTCATATAACATACAAGATGCAGCACACACACTCATTCAATACACATCAATTTCAAAGTTCACAAAATGTAATTTTTTTTGGGG